GTGTGGTGGCTGGGGTGTGGGGACGGTGGTGGGGGGGGGAGGGTGGGGGGGGGGGGGATGTGACTGGTGCTAACAGTTTTAAATTGTTCTGGGTGAATGTCACATCCCAATTTCTCAGGATGGTGACGTCACCAAACATATGCTACAGGCCTTGCTGATCTGGGAATCAGTTCAGGGAAGACACTAAGGGGAGCCCTCCTGTTGAGGCAGGAGGTTCAGAGCAGACCCCCTTGCTTTCTAGAATCCTCAGCGAGGAGCCCAGGAGCGGCTGGATCCACTCCTAGTCCCAGACTTGGTCAACGGTTTATGTCTAAAGGGATGAGGTGTAGGGATTACGGAAAAGGAAAAAGAGAAACAAGACAGAGAGGAAGAGAAAGATTTCACCAGTCCTGGGTCCAGCGTTGGTTCAGTCAGCCGAGGGGTCCGGTTCTGGGGGGCTTGCGCACATGGGGCTTCAGTTTGTGCCCTTTTATCATCCTTGCCCGTCCTTCAGGCAGGCACTCGAACTCATTAGGCTAATTAGGTAGCCTTTGGGCCGTGGGCTTGGGGGGATCATTTGGGGAGTAGCTTCCCCTTCCCTGCAGATGTGATCTTTCACCATCCATGGTGAGCTGCCCTGCTCAGCACACCAGGACAGGGAGCTGTGCACTCTCCAGCATGGCCTTCCCCTCCTGACCTCCCCCTCCTCTTGCTGATGGGCTTCTTTTCACCTGGGGTTCCTTGCTAGGTGGGGTTGCTTGTTATGGAGAGTTAGTTGTTAAGCAGAACTTGCCCAACTACAATGTTTTGAGACATTAACTCCTTCAGTCTCTCACAGTGAAATAATCTCCCCTTGATTGTCCATTAGAGGGAAAAAGTATTTCAGCTGATACAAGACAAATGCACCCAGATATACTCAGCTTTTGTTGCTCCTGTTGGGGATGTCTGTGGATGTTTGAGTTATTGAGACCAAATACATGAACAGAAAGATGGCGCCTCAGCTTGCTTGTGTGTTGCTACGGTGTGTCTGTTAGCAGGTTTGTCTCCTTTTTTTTTTTTTTTTTTTTTTAAATCTGGTGAGTAGGTCATATTCTTGGGTGGGGAGAGGCTGCTGATGGTTTTTCCAGGTGATGACAAGAAAACGTGTGGTAAACTTATCTCACACATTAGAGTATTTAATGGCATTTCACCAGCACTCAAATGCACTCTGCACATACCATCATTCGGGTATTTTTACTTACCTGCCTAGCAAAGATGATGTTTGAGCTGCTAAGACCCTACCTTGACAATCTGAGCTCAGAGGGTTACCCTTAGTGAATGAAACTTAAATGTACAAGCTGGAGCAACCACCATGCTGCTCAGTGCTGTTTTGCTGGGTGGAGGGTGGTGCTGATGGTGTGGGGTGTGAGGAGGAGACAATGAGAGGTCTGTTTTGATTATGCTGTTAGGGTTTGTTTTGTTTTGTTTTGTTTTGTTTTTAATCCTTTTCTATCTATCATCTGCTTTATCCTGGGGACCAGCAGCGGGATCTTTTTAACTGGGTAAACAGTTTTAAAAAAAAAAAAGTGATTTGAGTTCTCAGCTTGGAAGGGAGATGTGCTACGTCATCCCAAGCAAGCTCTCTTCTCCAGCCTCCCACGGCCCGCAGCTCATGCTGTGCTTGCGGCTTTCCATGTGTCCTGGTTTCAGCTGGGATGTAGTTAGCTGTCTTCCTAGTAGCTGGTACAGTGCTATGTTTTGAGTTCAGTATGTGAAGAATGTCGATAACACTGATGTTTTCAGTTGTTGCTCAGTAGTGTTTAGACTAGAGTCAAGGCTTTTTCAGCTTCTCATGCCCAGCCAGGGCACCTGACCCAAACTGGCCAACAGTGTATTCCATACCATGTGACGTCCCATCTAGTTTAGGAACTGGGAAGTGGGGGGCAGGGATTCGCCGCTTGGGGACTGGCTGGGTGTCGGTCGGCGGGGGGGGGGCAATTGCCCTGCGCATCATTTGTACATTTCAATCCTTTTATTACTACTGTTGTCATTTTATTAGGTGTTATCATTATCATTATTAGTCTCTTCTTTTCTGTTCTATTAAATCGTTCTTATCTCAACCCAGGAGTTTTACTTCTTTTCCTGATTTTCTCCCCCATCCCACTGGATGGGGGGGGAGTGAGTGAGCAGCTGCGTGGTGCTTAGTTGCTGGCTGGGGTTAAACCACGACACCATGCTGCGCCTGAGCTTGGCACCCTGTGTCATGGGGGCGGGGGGGGCTCCTGCAAGCCAACGGGGAGCAGCAGTGCACAACTGCTGTCTGCTGCATAAGGAGAAATGGGAGCTGCAGCGGGAGGCAGGGAGAGGCCGCAAGCAGAAACCCAAATAATCTGTGTTAAAAATGACAGATTGTGCTTTGTGCTGTGTTGTCTCATGTAGGTCTGGAGCCCCTCTGTGGCAGGATGCTAGCTCATTTATAAACTGCCTGACACTCCAGATGTGAACCTTTTATGTATATTTCTTTCTTACATTATTGTTAACTTCTGGAGCAGGTGGTTTCAGGCATGACCCAGTTTAACCTATTGTTATTGTTGAAAAATTCCAGATGCCAGCTGTTAAAAAAGTCCAGAGGAATTTGGAAAGTCAGACTACAGTGAACACTGGAGTTGCCAAATATTTTGTCCTGCATCATAAAAAAATAAATACATTCCTCTTCTCAGCGAGTTACAGCAGAGAGTGATCAAAGTCCTCCCCAAGTAATGAACATGAATTGCCTGGCTAGCCTGTTCCCATGGTAATAAATTGGATCAAGACTGGTATCTGCATTAGAAATCTACACCTCCAGAGCTACCCCACAAGCCTTTTGTAGTTCCCGACTCCTGCGTCAAGCCCTGCACAATCAGTGTTTTCCCAGCAGTGCTGCCAGCCGTCGCTGCAGGAGCTCGGCTGGGGTGATAAAGCAGGCGGCCCTAGACAAAGCAGGGCTTGTTGTCTGTTTGCAGCCCAGGGCTGGGGTGGGGAGGGCAGGGGAGATGCCAGGCATGGTTCAGGCTCGAGCCCCGATTTGCTGATGGACATTTGTACAGTATGAAAACATTTAGTGACTTTGCACACGCTGGAGGGCTCAGCCCATGCGCTGGCATTGGGATACAGCACACCAGAAGGCCCCGATGGCCAGAATTTTCCTCCCGCAAGGCAAGAACGCAGCCATGCGTGGCAGGCAGCCAGGATCCCCCAGCCTGCTGAGAAAGTGGGCAGCAAGGTGTGCAGTGCTGGGAGCAGCCACGGTCCCATGCCACGGCAGGGCCTGCACACTGATCTGAGATGCAGTCAGAGCAATTTGTTCCTATAGGTTTACTCCTTCAGCCCGGCAGGTCTGTGGTCTCCACTGCTGCACTGGCTTTTTGTCTAGTCCAGCCTGCCTGCACCTGCCAGTGCTGCAGCACTGAGATCCTTTCCCTGGGGAAATGCGCTGCAGAGGGGAAAGAATTAACCCCCGTTAGCAGCAGTGAAGGGAGATGTCACCTCAGCAGGCCAAAATAACCCCCACTCTCACTTTGAAAAATAAAGCTGCTTCTGTTACTATCTATCTGGAGTTTGTGCAGCTGTGTGTAGGCATGTGCCGGTGGCATGGAGAAGCCAGGCTTTTCCCAGGGATGAGCTGGCCGAGGAGTTTGCTGGCTGGGCCATGCCATTCTGCCTTGCATGCCGCTGCCCATAGAAGGAGCCTAAGGGCATGAACTCAATTTAGCTGGGTTGGTGAATTAGTCGCCTTCCCAACCTGCCAAAAAGCTGTACAGTTGATCTGGACAGTGGGAGGCTTATGATCTTGGTGACAGGTCAGCTTTATCTCCGATAAGGATTGTTTTTTGGGTTGTGCTTTGGTTTGGGTTTTTTTTTTTTTTTTGCAAGGCAGCTGTGCTCTGCTGTGATTCATCATGAAGGAGAGGAAATACACGGCACAGCAGTAAAGCACTGCTGAAGCCGGTCGGGACTTTCCAGTACAGGCACATGACCCTGTCCATAGCTGTTGCAGATGCACCCACTAACCTCAGGGCTGGAGGTGGCCCTCTGCCTGCCAGCGAGGGCCTGTATGCAGCTACAAACCCTTCTGTTTTCAACCTCTGGCAATTTGTTTTAAAGCAAAGATGACACTATGTCTTAGAAACCATTTATTTTTACACCAAAAGAACAGCCAGCAGCTCATTCAGAGGTGTGAGCAGAGAAATAACTTCACCGCAGACCACCTCTTTGGTATACATGGGTAGTGGCACTGCTGCTCAGGTACCATCAGCCCTCATCCAGTGCACATGGGGCACGTGCCCCCCCCCCCGGCCCCATAAGCCCCAAGGCACCTTCCAGTAGCCATGCATGGCTGGCAGCACAGGGAGCAGGGCAATGCCTCTTGACAGCCACACGGGGCCTTGCAGAGGGGACTGTCTCACATGTCTGCAGACAGAAACAACCACGGCCATGGGGTCTGTCCTGGGTTGGACGAGGGGATGTGCGGTGGCAAGACCCACCCTCACCAGCCTGCGCCCAGTCCTGAGCCTGCGATGGCGGGGGAGGGGGGAGCTGGCACAGAACGGACAGCGCCAGATGGAACAGGGACAGGGACTACGGCCACTCAAACTTTCCCCTCTTTGTTCTAGGACTCCCTGGTTTCCAGCAAACATCAAGTGGACATTTTTTTTCACAGAGCTCAGTTTGTGACTGTGGAGAACAGAGGGGCACCTGGGTGATATGGTAACAGGAAGCATTGATGTGCCTGGTCCCATCATCATGAAGCGATGCTGGATGCAGAGGTGGTAGCTCTCGGCTGCCTTGCACTGGAGACAGGCCACCAGTGCCAGCTATGGTCTGTGGCTTGGCTGTGCCCACCTGGCCCTTGCTGGGTGCCAGCAGGGAGATGCTAACAGCAGCTGGGCAGCACATGAGACCAGTGTGACTCAACTTCGTAATTCCCTCCCCCTGTTCTCCAGGGTAAACACAGCCATGCACTGGACACCACTTCTGCTGCCCCAGGAACCCCAGTCCAGTGCAGAGGGATACCAGGAGAAAGCAGACACATCTGCCTTGTGGATTCACCCTGTTTATTGAATGCAAACAGAAGGCAAATAAATGGAACACAGAGAGACTTTGGCCTCTGATCTTCCTGTGCGATTGACAGCACAAAGGAGGAAAAAAAATAGTTCTGTGTATTAAAAAAACCAAACAGTGAAAGAGGAGACGAAAAGAATGTAGTGACATCTCATGTGAACAGATGGAGGATTAATAATGGCAAGGAAATTCAAAGCCATGCCTAGCATTCCTTATCGCAAACAAGATTCGGCGGGGGGGCAGGGATGATGCTTTCCAAGGAAAAGCAGCAGAGAAACCATCCACACTGGCTTTGTGAGCAGCATGGTTTACTTTGGGAAGACTGTGACCACCTCGTAGCCCTCTGGGGGAATCACCCGCTCCCGGGCATGCTTCTCACAGTAGATTTGGTCTTCCACGAAGAAGTGTCCTTTCTGCTTGAGGTTGGTGCCGCAGTCACTGCACACGTAGCACTCGGGGTGACGCTGCTTGTCCCGGATCTTCACAAACACCCCTCTGGGGAAGGAACCACCAGCACCTCTCAGTGCCAGGCACCCTCCTTCCCAGCCACCTCCCACCCAGCCCAGACCCACACCAGTGCTGAAGGTGGACAATCTCCTCCTGCTTCCGACAAGTTGAAGTACAGGCCCTACTGCTAGTCAGGCAGATGTTAACAGCACTTTTAGAGCCCAACATGTGCCAGCATGGGAGCCTTCCTCTAGAAAGTGTTTCCTAGCACCGGCCTGCCTAAGTTTCACAGGGACAGTCCTATGACCTGTGGTGGCAAGAATCACTGTGATGGCATCTTTAGCTGATGGCTGGAGACAGCGCAACAGCCTTCAAATGCCCAGGATCAAATGACAGGCATCAGCTTGACCAGCTGGGGAACTAAATCCAGGTCCAAACCAACCGGATTGCAGAACAAATCCAGAAATGACTGCCACCGCCAACCAAGGGGGATGAAGGCTGCACAGCCAGCCGCTGCCCTTTTGCTAGTGATGGACATGCCAGGTACATACAGGAGAAGCACAGAGACCAGATCCTGGCTCTGATCTCACATACTGCTGCTCAGGAGATGCAGTGAATGGCCCCAGCTAAATGTGGGCCAGCTCTTAATGGAAAACTTCACAGCTTAACCCAGCAGATGATGAGGAAAACTACATAGCAACTCGTTAACTACCACCAGCAGCAACACAACAATTTGCCAGGAGTACAATTTCATTCCAGCAGCCATCTATGTTTTCCATAATTCATTAGTTTTTAGTGCTATTCATAGCCTTGTGCTTTCTCCCCAGATCTACCCAGCTGGTAGAATAATTGTAGGGTTTGTCTACAATTCATATTTTACAGGCCTCTGTAATATTTATAGATTGCCTCTGTAATGACTCTGCCAGTCCTTGGTGCTCCAGGCATGCCAGGACCATGCAATCACAGTGTCGTGGGCCTCAGCAACAATCTGATACCCTGTGGCGGGCAGCACGGGCGATATCTGAATTATTGCATGACAATGCAGGTGCTCTACCAGCACTTGACTGCTGGAGTCAACTGTTAAGCTAAGGATGTTGTAGGGAAGAATTTGTGGTTAAGAAACTGAACAGCGAATTGAACACATGGGTTGGGTTCTCCGTGCTGTCACAGTTATGGTACAGCAGCTCTGTATTGAACCCATGCCCCTGCTGTGCTGGAAGTTGGACATAGCCACATAAAGACAACAAAAATGTCTACGTAGACACAGAGGAGGTGTGCAGTCCTACAGCACAGCAGGGAGCAGAATGCAGCTCTCCTGGTCCACATTGCCTCTGACCACCAAGGCAAGTCACCACTCCGTGGCTGGGAGCGCCACGACATGAAAAGCATTAAATACATAGGCCCTGAATGGAAAGGTCATTTTGTTTCTGGGTGCTGTAAACAGATTTCAGGTAGGAAGCAAAACACTGCAGCAACAACTGTCTTGAGATTTGTCTCATAGGGACTTGCTTTGGTTTCCATTGATATGGATCTTTAGAGGGAAACCCAACTCCTGCCTCACTGCAGGGAGCTGCAAAGTTAGCACTGTCAAAGCTGGTAAGAATGTGCCTTGAGCCAGCTCCTGGATGCACTGGATGTGGATAGGTCAAGTGTTTCGGGTGCAGCACCTCAGCCCCACACACAGGCATGGGATGCTCAGCCTGCAACCCCAGGGACAGGCTTACTTACACAATGCCAGATCCACACTTCTCACACATGGGCAGCTTCTGGGCATTCCCAATCGATGAGGCCACCTTTGTGGTGGGGGCTTTGACGCTCCTAAATCCAGATGGTTTGGTAGGGTCTCCTGGGGGTGGAAGGAGAGTGCTTCAGAGCATGTGAGATGTGTGGCTCTAGGCTATTCCTCCCAAGCAGATGCTCTGCTAGGGACGAATGATGTTCTTTAACCCCAGCTCTGAGGCAGGGACTCATGCACGGAAAGCAGGCAGGGATTTAGAGGTGTGTGGGGAGGAGGGAGAAAAGGGACACAGCTGAACCTGGCCCTGGAAATTCGAAGGCCTGAGATTGTGGGCAGTCAGATGAGATGATCTTAAAAGCCCATCAGACTTCAGCTGATGTGTCTCAAATGCACAAAGCAAAGCAAAGCCTCAGCCCCAGCCCCAGCCTTGGCAGCACTGGAGTCTGCCTGCTGTGTGTCTTGATCACAAACACAGGCTCAAGCTGATTGCCAGATTTGGGCTCAGAAAGAGGAGGTGGGTGTGCTGGCAGACTAGGGAGGACTGTCAAAGTCCTTTTCCAGTCTGCTGACTGGTGTACAGTGGGGCTGGCTCCCCCAGGACTCCTGAAAATTTGGTTAACAAACTCCTTGTTCTTGCAGGGCCCTGGGACACTGGGGATAACCTCATGCTCTCCTGCTGCTCTGTAGCATGCTCCAGGTATCTCCCTAGTGCAACCTCTCTGGGGCAGGGATGTCCTGCAGGTCCTCCGCAGGAGACATCTGCTGACCTGGATGCCTACAATGCCTAGATGCAGGATACGAGGCAAGCCTTTAAATATCTGCAGTGAAAAAGGAGCCTCTTACAAAATGACACCACTGATGTGACTAGTCTTGTCTTATCTATATGACTTCTGCAAGAGGTTGAACACCAAGCAACAAGGGAAGGAGGGCTGCAGAGACTCCCACGATGTCTCACCAGAAACAGAGAGGTCGATGGGCACCTCTGGGAGGGACACTGATAAAACCCAAACCAAGAGCAACTGCAATGGTTGTTCCTGGTGTAAGGGGAGGAAAAACCTTCCAAAGGCACACCCTGGTGACCAGCAAAGTCAGGGACACATCACAGCCCAAGGCAGCATCACTGACAGAAGAGCTGAAGGAAAAAGGGGGAAACTGCCCACTGCACCTCCCTGTCACCACTGCTCACCCATGGGGCAGGTGATGCTGCACTGCTTTGCCTCTGGGGCAGCCTTCAGCTCAGAGGTTTGCACCCACCTCCATGCAGAGATGCTGGTCCAGAGGTGCAAGTTCCCTAATGGGGGCTACAGCCCATGTACCCTGCAAACACAGCAGGAAGCATCTGGCCTGTGACAGAGTTACTGCCAGTGACCCTTGCTGGGAAGGAAGCAGCAGCAACCACAATCTCAGGCTCTTCCCTATCACCTCTGCTCATTCCCTCTGCCTCAAACAGCAGTTTGCTAATATCAACAACATTGACAGCATGTTTTTAAAGCTCTCTAAAGGATCAACTTAATCAAATACCCACAGGAAATATAACTTGTTCCACCCTGTGAAACACTCTCCACCCATGAGTGCAGGGTCAGGTCTAAACACAGACCAGCTGTGGTGCTTCCACACACCAGTGCCCACACACAGCCCCCATGTCCGGGGCCAGGCTCTCAGCTGGTGTAAGTCAGTGCAGCCCATACAGTCAGTGATGCCCCAAGGGACTTGTCCCAGCTGGGGAGATAACTCCCTGCTACTACTCACAAGCCATGGCCTGAAGACAGGCTGGGAGAAGCAGCCAACTGATGTGCTATTTATCACCGCAGACATGATCTGACTCAGCAGCAGCAGTGTTTCAGCCTGGCCGAACGGCTGGCAGGCAGGGGCACTGCCTCCTCAGGGACACACATTCCTCTGAGGCTTCATAACCCCCCAGCCCCGCTCCGCATGGGTGATTATCAGCTCACGGGAGTAATGCCAAAGCCTATCCTAGCCCATGATGGGGCAGGCAAACCTTGTGCCAGAGAATCCCAATAATGCTGCAAATCTTCAAAGAAAGATAAAACAGAAAGGCTTTTGCTTCTTATCTTCTTCAAGGCTACTAAACACAGGGGAGGACCTTGGCTGCCTGAGAAGTCTTGGCTACTCCAGTCCCTTCCATGCAGGACCTGAACCCTGAGGGCAAGTTGCAAACACTCAATATTTAAAAGATGCTTTCAGGTAGGTATTTCAGCAACATATTAAAGACTCCAAGATCCTGGTTTCTTTCTTGCTATTGTTTCCTTATGTCCTTTGGTTTGCTGTTTCCTTACAGATCCCTCAGACCTACCACACTTGGCTGATCTCCTTCCCTTTGTGGCAAATATCTCAGCACCAGGCTTTTGTTGGATGAAATTGAGTGTACCACTGCCAAGCTAGTAACACAAAAGACAGTCTCAACTGGCCTAAGGAAAAAGAAGTCATTCTTGGAATTACTTTCCTATTTATTTGTTTATTTTATTTTATTTAAGGGGAGAAGAGGGTACAATTCGGCCCTCACCTAAGTTAATGGGCTTTTTTATCTTAAAGTCTATAGCCCTGAACTGCACAAGTCCAGATGTCAGATCAAGAATGCCAAGCAGAGCAGTTTCAGAGGCTGAAAGCTATGAACTGCTTGCTGTAACCTAGCTTCCATATTTTTACATTCAGCTGCAGAAATGGATTCTTTTTCTTGTGTAGCTGAATGGAGATCAGAAGCTTTAGAACTCACTGAAGAGCACTATATCTTGTGGTACTTTTCAAAGTCTTGAATTTAAGATGGTCTTTAATCATTGAATATTATCTTAAAGGGGCAAAACTTTAGAAAGTACAGTAGAGGTTTTTGCAACTTTTTAATTTCCTTCTTGATAACTAAATGTTGTAGGGGTTTATTTCTTGAGCACTCAATGAGCATGGGCCCATAGACACTGAAACTAATCAATGAGAGAACATTTAGGAGTAAAGTTAGCGAAAGGGTCTGTAGGTTTCTGTAGAAACCACCTACACGCACTACCTTGAACAATCAACAGCTAAGAAAGGAAAATAAAGTTTTAGATGTTACCTTTAAACACTGTACACAGCCCAAGGAATGGCAAAAGGGAAGAGCACACTCAGATGAGGTGTGCAGTAAGTGCTCACCTTTCTCTTCTGACTCCAAGATCTCTTGCAACACGAGGAACGAAGCAGACTGCCTGGGTGGCTCATTTGACTCTTGATTCTCCTGGAGCATCTTGTAAACCTCAGATTCTCTGTCTATGACAATGCCGCCTGGGGGCTGGTTATGCTGATCTAAACTGAGGAAGGAACAGAGAATACCCTTGTTAAACAGCTGAAAACTAAAGCCAGTCCCTCTAGCAAAATTTTCACAATGCATCATACAACTGAAGAATGAACGTGCAAAACAAACGCACAACAGGATGCCATAAAACATGGAAGTGCTGGATGTGCTCGCACAAGACAGCTGCAGCCCGGGTGGGATCAGCACACTGGGCTATCCGCATACACTACTGTATACGGGTTCTCGCCGACTGCCCCCAGCCAGTCCTCAAGTGTCCTCCCTGATTTGCAATTACTATATACTCCAGAAATTAAAACTTTCTGCCCAGGAAATTACTGCTCTGTTAACAGGAAAATAAAGAATTCATGTGCTGGGATGGGAATCACACATGGTAGCTGTGCCATCTATGCATGTTCCTTGCATGCATAAACCACCTTAGCCTGCTACCTTACACCACTGTAAATCTCAAAGTAAATTTATTCCATTAAAAAGAAATCTTTGCAAGTACACTATGAATTGGTCCTAAAGGCCACCTTCACAAAGTAACAGCTGTAGGATCTAACTAAAAGATCCCCATTAGCAATAATTTAATTTGGTTTTCAAGTGAGTGTTATTATTTCCATTTTATAGGTGGAGACTCTGAACCACAGCCCATTTACAGCATTTAAATAAGGTTAACAAGGAGGTCAAGGGCAGAGGAAATTTCTGCCTGCTAAGACTAAGCTCTCCTCCTTTCAGCTGTCTCCTGAGGTGCTGCTGCTGCTGCCGCTCATGTCACGAGGGACTTGCACCCTCAGCCCAGAGCCCAAGGTGCTTCAGGGGCAGCCTTTCACAGTGCAGGGTGGCTGAAAGGGTGGTTGTTGTGCCACTGGAAAGATCTTTAGGGGAAAAAAGAAAAGAGGCTGGAGGCAGTAGCTAGGATGTTCTCCACATCCAGTGGATACAGGATAAACTACAGGCTTAAAACTGCAGGAGGATATTCAGAATATCCCTTGGAAAAAGCTTTCCAACAGACAGATACTGAAATACCAGAGAAGATTGCCATGGACAGGTGAGCAACCTCCATACTAAAGGATTTTAAGAGTCTGGACAAATAGTTGCTGGGAATTATTTAAATCAATGGTTTAAATTGACCAAATGCTGGGCTAGGGGATGGACTAAAGGACACAGGAAGTACCTGTCTGCCTTACATTCTGTGGCTCAAGGGTCTCTGGAAAACTGAGACAACTGACAAGTCTCCTCTGAAAGCTCAATTACATAATGCAGCCTTACAAATGTAAATGGTCTATTAGGTTTCACCATTCCTGCACCCTGTGATTGCTTGAAAAGTACATAAACATCCTGAAGTTCAGACTAAATTGCAGAGGGAAATCTTCTTCTTGAGGAGGCAACTGCATACTTTCCATGCCAATGTGCAACTGAGTCATCTGGGATTTATTCTACATAATAAACTGTTCAAGCATCAGAGGTAAAATCATTGCACATGTTATAAAATGCTACTTCCATAAAAAGAATTTCATAAAATGTTTCCATCCTTAGTAATTTTCAGTGGAGTGGGAAGCACATTAGACTTGCAAGCAGTTGAAGCCTTGAAGCCTGAATTTGATTTACCGAAGCCTCTCACCCAAAATAAAATAATGATGTACCTTCTATTACAGAGAAAATGTCCTAGGCTATCCCAAATGAATCCATACTCTACATTACATTCATCTTATGTAAACTCATATACTCCCACCACTCTATCCACTCATAAAAACATTAGGCAAGAAGCCTTTCATTGCAGTTTGCATACTAAGAATGTTTCACTAACATGCATTCAAAAAGCAAAGACTAAATCGTTTTAAAGAGCACTAGAGTCAACCAAAGCCATCACATTTCAACCATGCATTGTGACAGTGTGGAAAACATACAGATCAGCTCTCCCAGGTATGCACCCTATAGATATACTTGCATATATAAGACTTCTGAAAAACTATTAAAAAACCCCCAAATCCTAGAATTTGTACCAGCAGAGTGAAATAACTCAACCTGTCAGGGCAGAAGGCTATGCTACTTAAAGGAAAAAAAACCCCACCGAAAAGCACATGCATCTTTTGAATGGGCAAGGCCACAGGCACACAAATTGTGCCTGCAGGATAATGAGTCTCTGTATGTCAGCTGATTTATGGCACCTCCTGTTGCACAGGTACTTTACCTGCAGCAGTCACCAGCAAGTGGTGTCCTTTTCCATGTGCAGGTGTTCCCTGACACAGAAGCTTTGTAGAGGACAACCCCAACAACCTTTACTGGATTTCAGACTCACGCAACTGTTACTGGATCTCACTGCTTCTACCATGGACAACCTGCAATGCTGATTGAATAACACTGGATCACTGAGCTTTGAAAATTGGCAAGAAGATGGTGATAAAAACCATAAAGACACAGTGTTGCACAGCGTCTTCAGAAAAGCACAGCTTATTCTTTATTAATGCCATTTTACTATTTTATGCTAGCACATTTTGTAAACTTTACAAGGATCTCAAAGCTGGGCTACAGGAAGGCCCAGTACTTGGAGCACTCACTTTTGCAATGAAACAATTCCTGATACTTGGGGCTCCTTTGTGAGCGTTATCAGCTGTCCAGACCAGCACAGCCAGCAGAGTGTGACCGCTTCTGGCATGTGTGGTATCAACTACAAGCCAGAGCAGTGACTTACAGCAAGCAACTGGACTGAGTAACAAGGCAGGAGTAAATCCACAGCCTCCCATTATCTCTTGGCTGCTGCCACATGGCAAAGCTCGGCCATGTGGGTTCATGGGTGAGCATGCCAACTTTTCTACTTTGAAGCATGTGGTGCTCAGCCCAGGGGGGTACTGTGAGCAGCCGAGGAGCTATGGATCTGGCTGTGCCCTTTCGCTCTGTCCCACATAGGCCATGGGACTGACCACCTCCCTGGACCACATGTTATACAGCTACAAGCTACTTGGTCACATAGCGGGATAACTCTGCTGAAGGTTCACATCTTCTGAAACAATTCAGCCTAGATTGGAGTCCTCCTGTGAGATGGCTAAATGTGCTTTCTGCTTCACCCATCTCAATACCAAAGTCCTCCCCATAAAACCCTGTGGGCTGTCATTTAGAGGCACAGGCCAGCTGGTTCCCAACTGCCACAAAGCAAACACCAAAGAGCACCCAGGCCTTGGATGCTGAGGCTCTCCACAGGTCCTGCAGGCCTCAGAGCATGTTGATCATCCTCTGCTCCTATGGGCAGAGGCAGCCCTAAGAGCAGCAACCTGCGCAAACAAGCGGGCAGGGGTGGGGGGACAGACTGGGACCTTCATGTGCCTGGTACCTGCCAAGGCTGCTCCAAACTCCTGAGTGTTATCAGCCATAGATGAAGACCCATAGGGACCTGCTTCAGCCTGAAATGAAACACGCCCAGTACACACCCATGGCCCAGACCACAGCCAGCAAAATAAAAGCAGAAGGACAGGTGCGGCAGTTGCAAACAACAACAGTTGTTTCAGTGGAGGAGAAACACCAGCTTTCAAGATAAAGCACTCTCCTGCCCCCAGCAAATCCATCCGTTGCAGGTGGCTCCTCCAGGAAAGCCACCAGCTGCTGTTGAGGCCCTGCTGTATGGGTGGGCAGGGGGCAATGGACACACTGACAGGCTGAAATCGTGTTTTGGTGCTTCCTACGGTGTTGGACACAGACACAATGCAGAGAAAGCTCCTGTGAAGAGTCATGCACTAATGTCAGAAAGGTGAAATGTAAGTGACGTTTTCTTGTGACCGGCCAACGCTGTGAGCCACAGACAGGGATGAGGCACTCGTGGACACCGAGATGCAGATGAATGGATGCGCCGAGCTGGCCGCAGAGGCAGCAGGCAGGTTACCTGGGGAAATTGGGGCTAACAGAAGAGATCTGCCCCTGCAGGGAATCCATGATGTTGCTCTGCGAATAGAGCTGCAGGGGAGAATTGAACTGCACATGCAGCACTTTGAGTCCTGGCACTTCCACTTCCATGGGGCTGTTGGGGCAGACCTGGGCCATGCGCTTCAGCTGCTCGGGCCCCACTTGGACTTGGCTGGGGATGGAGGAGGTGCTGTGCCTCCGCTGCGGTGGCTCGGAGGTCTGCGCTTGCAGGGGGTTATAGACAGAGGCGAAGGGAGCCTGCATTGCGTTCATCGGTGATGGGTGGCTATGGCCCCACGTGTTCACACTGGGCAGTTTGAGTTGTGTTTGTTTGGGGGTTCATTTGCGTTTTACATTGTGGAATTGAGGAAAAAATGCAGAGGAGGAAGAAAGGAAAGAAGGAAGAAATTAATGAAGGACTAAACCAAATACACCAAGCAATACAAGCAGTTGCAGAATACTGTCTGAGGGACACACCACTGAATACTTCATATTAAGCGTTCTGGCTAATACTGTGGCTCTGGTCTCACACTCCAGGTGTGTCCACGCAAAAACTAAAATGCATTCACTCTACTGATGAGCAAATACAAGGGTTGTAAAAGCAATGAAGACATGGCAGCGGGGGTTTCACTATGAACCAGCTACCTGAGCACACACTCATGGTCCCCCTGTCCAGCCAAGGAATGCCACCTTCACTGCTGCCCTTCCCAAAGCTAGCCTGGGCGCCCTACCAAGGGGCAATCTCACCTCCGATCCCAAAACAGATGTGCTCAGCAGGGGGGCTTCTCCCTGCCTTCCCCACCTGTTTTGCGACACCAGATCCAGTGGAGGTTTGCTGCTGTTTCTGTCTGTACGACAGTCCTACATTTATATCACACACCCTCTAAGGATGGACCATGGACCAGGTTCCCGTGTCACTTCATCATGTGCAGTGGCAGGATCAGGCTGCCAGGTTCAGATAGGCTGTGTGTCTGCTGGGTGCAGGATGGGGAAGCAGATAAATGCCAGGTAAACCCAGAGCAAGGTCAGCCACGTACAAACAACTCAGCAAAACAGACGGGCAGGAATTTAAAGCCAGATAGAACGCTGTGCGAAGGGAGAACCTACATATCCTGCGCTTGTGCACTAGGGAGACCACAGTGGGTTTTTAATGGCAGGGTGAGGCCCCTGGCTCTCACTGAAAACGAGCAGCAATTCATTTGATTTTAATGACTCTGTCAACAGAAGTGTATTAGCATCAAAGGTCTCATCCACAGTCGCCCCAGCATTCCTCTGCAATTTGCTGTGTTTCAGCAAGGGAAAGATGAAAGAGATGTCATGTACCCCACATGCAGCAGGGCTGGCAATGGATCTTCCATTGTGCTAGGAAGAGCACAGTGAGCCACAGCATTTGAAGAAACCCACCTCTTTGCTGATCCCTGCAAGAAAAAGGGATCACCCACAAGTTTCCAGCAAAATATACCAAGATTCCAGAGAGTGCTCTCACCTGGAGGGGACTCCAGACTTAGACCAGAGGTGGTATTTGACTGCCAAATGGTCCCATCACATTAACGCAAAGTCAGATTTCCTTTGCCTTTGCTCAGCCCCTGAATGAGGCTGCTGCGGTCTACCAGAAGCAAATGAGGAACAAACATCTGTCACCTCATCTGCCAGCTGCAGCACCATAACTCTGCCTAGAAGGGCCCATGCTGCAGACAGGGCTGCCAGTGCAAGAAGCCTGTTTCAGTCAGGGGCAAGTTTTCAGGCTTGTGTTAAACCACAATCTCAGGTCTTTGTGCCCTGCAAAAGCAGAGGCTGACGTTACTTTTGTCTGCCCATTCACAAGTCAGGAATTTAGTCGAGTATCACCTAAAGCACTAGTCTTGCAGCTTTTGTTGTAAAAGTGGCCAAAGTCTTCCAAGCAGTTTGGTACTGCTATGCAGAAACTTAGGGCAGTTAAGCAACCTGACTAACGCAGCCAGAAAGATTTCAGATAGCTCCTTGTTTATTGCTCCCAATGAAAAAATAGGAACTTTGGACTCCTGGGATAATGTAATGTCTTTGATGAAGCTCAGATGCAACCACAAAAATCAATAGGCCCTTATAGGTTGGGACCCTTTCCAATCCCATATATAAAATTGCTCACACAGGTATGAATGTTTCATCTACTTTTAACACTCCTGTGAAAAACAAAGTTCAATAATAAAAAAATAGAAAGATCCAAACTTCGGCAGAGCCTGTCTAGGAATCCCAGGCCAGCCAGGAACGGGGACGAGTGTGCTTCCTGTGCTAGCTGGAAGCCCAGCATTGCCCAGCATTGCCCCCACAGCCAGCACAAAATGCTAACTTTACAAAGTGCTTGTAACAAGCTATCAGGCACCTGTTCAGACCAGCAGGCTGGTATGTCATGCTGAACGCACGTGGAAACTGCATTGGTCTCTGCTAAACAAAGAAACACAACAGCATTAATTTAATTTCTACATCTCGTGAAATGTTCCCCGCTCCTCCAAGCCCTGCCCCAGGAACCACATCCACACTTGTGCCTCTGCTCCTTCCCTTGTCCTGAAAGAGAGCTTTTCTGGGTTAAGAAATTGGTACCTTCACAGCGAACTCACATCTTCTGGAGCGTTCCCCTGGGGGCCTGGGCAGGAAGGGGAGGCAAGGAAGATACTTACGGCTTGGTAGGCTCCAGGGCCCCAGGTGATGTCTTTGACTCCACTGCATTGTTGAAGGTCTGGATGTTCTCTGATGAGTAGAGGCCTGCTGGGCTGTTGTACTGAGCAGTGATCACTCTGGGGGCAGAAGCTGTGGCAGCAGTGAAGGGCACCGCGCTCCGGTTGTGTGCACTTCCTATGTGCCTTATTTCCTGCATGCAAAGGAGCAGAGGCAAAAATCAGAGGTGCTCAGGCATGCAGGTGGGGTGTGACGGGGCAGCCCAGAACGAGTAGCCACTGCAACAGTGGCCTTTGCGTGTGGTGTCAGCTGAGGAGCACACAACCACGACCACCAAAGCAGGTGAGCGTCCTCCCACACATCACGAGGATCCCTGGCACCATCCTGGATGGCTTCAGGCTGACCTTCAGGACATTTCAGAGTTGACATGCCAGGAACATGAGAGCTCAGAAACACTGCCAGAGCTATTAGCTCAAGGTGCCACTCACCTGGGAGCTCCTGCAAGCCTATGGTAAGCCACAGGACCTACCTTCTCATGCAAGACTACAGATTTTAAGCATTCCTTGCAATTCCTGAAAGCAGGGCTGATTTCTATGGGAAAGTGAAGATGAGGGGCAGAAAGAGGAGCACTCTTCAATGATATCTGAAAGTCTGGCTTTCCTTAGATAAGGGCAACCCAAAAAGAAGGCATTTGTCATTACTACAAGAGCTCTGGAGCATGTCTCCTCCTTCAGCTGAGACTGGGGTTTGGAGCTGTCTCTGATGAACAACTTTGGACTTTCTGGATAAGAAATTCCCACAATAAAGGCAGGAAGATGACCATTGTTAATACAAAAGACTGTCCAGAGGCAGTGACAGCTAACTGCCAGAAACTTCTTCAGTGCCACAAGTATGAGGTATCACCCAGATGTTCTGGGTTTGCTGCAAACTGGAGGCTTCCAGTGGTATTAGCGGATGCTTAGAAACACTGGTTACAATTTGGTAAGAAAGGGGCCAAATCCAGGTTAAATAAAACATGAGGTAAGACTCTTCTGAATCACAGGCAGCGCTAACAAAAATGGGGAGATTTCTAAGCCCCATCAGTTCAGCAGGCTGGGAATTAGCAGCTTTGGGGTAGAGATAACAACACCCGGGGCTTATTTCTCCCCAGAGAAGATGCTTGACCAAAGCAAGGAGAAAGTACAATAGGGCCTCACTAGAGCAGGCATAAGAAAGGACTAACATTCACAGAGGCGGCTGAAATATTCGGGGCTAAAAGACGGCACCAAAATGTGCGTTTAGAAATGTTTCAGCCAGCTGTAGAGATTGGGCATGGCTTCAATGCAGGGCTAATGACCAATGGCATAGGATGAAACAGGGCCCTTCTTAACACTCTGGGCCCATGGTTCCCAGCTCTAATTAACAGAACCAGTTCCCTCTCCCACTCTATACAGGCGCTGACTTCTACAGCAATGAAGTGAGCCTTCACCGCCCTTTGAATATCTCATGGCATGTGTTTGATAGAGCTATAGTTACAGGATAAACACTCACTAGAAGCAACTATGACTAAATTCCCCTACAGATTTTTCTTTAAATCACTTTTATGTCCCCAGATTTCCTTAGGCAGCTGGCTAGCACTGCCAGGCTGACAGATGGGAGTAATCTCACTTCATGGCACTCAAATGCTATTTATGGCATCAAGCACAGCATAGGTTCTCTCAGAGAAGAATGGTGTGGATCCAAATGCACTCATGAGTTACAAGTCATTTGAAATCAGTGGGGTAGCTCAAGATGTTCAGGTGTGGGGTGGCGGGACTGCTCTCCTACGACTTTCTGGCCGATGTGTATGGATGTCAGCCATGAAGCTTTCCCACACACCAAAGGAAGAAAGACCCTGCAGTAATTAGCTAATCTCCCTTTGTTGCAATCTCATTTAAAGCACATAATAGCGCTTATAAAAATAGTCTTTCCCATGGCAGAAACCGTGGATTTTAGCAAAAAAAAAATATTACTTCAGCCTGTATATCACACCGTGGGGAAAAGTATCAGTGATCTTGTATCGGCATTATATACACACGCTAGCCCACAATTTGGAGGCTACAAGTAGGAGAGGGTTTCAGACGTGCACATAATAGTTGATTTAATGAGAGAGGCAGAAGTTTTAGGCTAAAGGGGTTATACTCTTAGGTCAAATAGGCTCAAAGTTGAAATCATGTCACAACCTGTATTGTGGAAATGTTTAAGTATTAACCAATAATTAGAGAAAGGGAAGTAATTTAGAGTATATTTTTTTTTTAAATTCTGGCTTCCTAAGGAAGTAAGGCATCTCAATTACATACTCCACATACACGTGAGCACGTTCCCACCCCCATCAGGGACCTTTGAATCTGTTAGCCAAGTCCAAGTCACTTTGACAGTGATGGAGGCCCCAAGGATATTTAAGTTTCTACAAGTGTTGAGAAAATAGACAGCCACATGGAGGAGAGACTGAAATCACATTAATGCCTTGACTCCAAGAAGAACTACAACACGTGCTGAGGCCCAGAATCCACACAGGAGATTTTGACCTACTTTTGGCCACCAGGTAGGTTTTCTGCTGTGTAATAACATCCAAGACCATAAATGAAGCTTTCAAAAGTGTCAGGTCATCTGTAGTAGCTCTCATGTGGATAAAGTCCACAGACTATAAGGGAGTTTATAACAGGCTAAATAGAGATATCAGTGGAGAAGGTGGTGTCTGAAGATTAGATTAGCAAAATCCCATCTGGAGAACAGCATAGAAGGTGTATAACCCAACAGGCTACAGACAAGTATTACAAGAGCAGTAACATTATAAAGGGCATTTGGATAATCCAAATTCTCCAGAACTTCCTGTCACGCCATGCTGCTCTTTCTGCTCAAGCTGTGGAAGGAATTTGCAAAGAACAAGTGCTTTCATGAACCCAAGATCAAAAGATAACATGTTCTCACTGTCAAATGTATTTACCTAGGGATTTGCCAGAACTGCCAAACAGGCCCTGTGCTGTGCAGCAATTTTGTTAAAGCCCCAGCTCCTGGAATCATGTGTTTATGTGAGAGTCTCTGACTTAACATTGGAAAAAAAAATCACAAATATGACACTCCCCAAAACCTGTCCACCAGCAGCCACATGAGAAATGTTAGTAGAAAAACACCGCTATACTGTGTACATGTGTGGGGGCAGCACCTGGTTTATGCAGTTGATATGCCTTTGGTTTGCAGCATCTCTAAGGATGTGGCGTTCCCAGGATCAACACAAGGAAAAGGGGACAAGCAGCATTAAACAGCATCCCTGGCTGGGGCACAGCAAGAGTAGCAAGCAGTGGGCTGTTTGCAAAGGAAGAACCAGCGGTCGGTCAGACACAAGGACATGCTCTCACCCAGTCAGAGCATGACTTGCTCTTTCTTTGTCAGTAGTACAGAGGAGTGTGACTAATATTAGATCTTTACAGAGACATCTTCGGGCAGATCCGGAACCACTTGCCTCGCCCTTCCTGCAAGCCATGGTGCTGCCTCAGTCCCCCAATGCCAGCCCTGTCTGCAGTGGGCTGCAGTCAGCAGTGAGCAGGGGTACCAGCAGCAGTTATTTTGGTCTGAAGCCAGGGTATGGTAGCTCCCAAGCCTCCAGGTAGGATATTCAAGAGCAATATTTTATCACTATAAACTGATCCCGTGATAGTTAAATCGCTTTGACTGCACAGATACCAGCTTTGTTTCCCTCCTTCCTTTGCAGACATATGTCTCCAGAGGGGCTGGCAGAGTGGCTAGCCCAAGCTAAAATGGATTAGCGACTGCACAAACTTCTCTGCCAGAGTGCTGCTTCTGAACTCAGAGAGGTCTCATCTTGCGTTACTTTCAAAATGAAGCCATTCCTCCAACAGCCCCCTCCCTACCTGAAACTACCTCCGCTATATGAACAAGCTCCAAGTGGCTTTGGAGCACAATCCCATGTGCTCCCAAGTCCTTCAGGCACCAGTACAAATTCCTCCATCCCAGAGGAAAAGCTATTACCCAATCCCAAGGACAAACAAGGTTTGTAGGACCCCAGCTTCAGGTCAAATACGCAGGTCTCCTGCCAGATGAGTCTTCTGGGTGCTGGCTGTTAGAGGCAGCAGCACCCTTTGGGAGCAGATAGGGACACTGTCAGGCGCCGCAGGTGCTGCACCGTGGCTCTTCCAGCTGGGTGCCAAGGGGCTTCCCCTGCCACCCCCACCCTCCTGGCACGGCAGGGAGCCGCCAGACACGGTGCCAGGCTGCAGGGACAGGGAAAATGTCCCTGCGCCGGGGCAGGAAGCAGATCAACATTTCCTACTGCACCGGCTGCGTCATGGGGAATTATCTGGGAAAACAATGGCCCCTTCCTCCCTCTCGTCCTGCTCACACCAGGCTATGCTTAGCGATGCTGAAGCCCAGCTTGTGAAATCTCCACTGCTACATCAGCTGTCACCTCCGTGCCCAGGGCCAGCCAGCGGCTCACAGCGTGGGCATCTGTTTCCTCCTCACCATGCAACAGAGACGGACACGCTACCACCATGGGAGCCGCTCATCTTGGGAATTGGGGCGTGGGAGTCCAGGGAAATTCCCAGTTGTCAGCGAGGCAGACAGATGGACAGACAGCCCAGGATGAGCCACCTCCACCAGCTCAGCTGGGGCACATCCCATGAAGCAGGGGCATAAAGCCACCTGGACACCTCCATGGCCCCATGGGCCCTCTGGCAGGTTGGGGGCAGTCTGGGGTGAGGGTGGGCTCTTGGATCCCATCCGCCATGCAGTGATGTGGCCGAGGCCATCCTGGCTGCACTGACCACCAGAAACAGGAAAAACCCAGAGGCTTTTTGTACTCACTAAATAAACTAAACTGCAATATGAGGTGTCGGGCAGCCTCTCCCTTAAGTGGGGTTCTCCTCTCCCCACAGCATGGCTTGAAGGCAGCTGGCGGGGCTGGGGCCTCAGAAGTGCTGGCTACTGCCCCCCTGCCACTGCACCCACAGCAGCCCCACTCCCCTGCCTGCCCCTTGCCCCTTCCCAGGCCACCTCCCCACAGCCCCTGGAGGAAAGACAGATTGAGTACAGAGCCGGGGGCTGCTTGAAGCCACCAAAAACTAGCTTCAGGGGTGGAGTCATGATTTAGAGAGTGGCTAGCGTAGTTATTTCCTGAAACTCCAGCTCTCGGAGTCAGGGGATTCACTCTGACCT